GTCATGCATAGATAACTAAATATAGTTTTTATCAATACATTCTAGATATTCTGTACTTTCAGTTGTTATTTATAATTTTTTATTTTGACTTGAAGACTTAATCTAATCTCATCTCACCTCTAAAGTACTTTGCTTTTGAAGTTATTTTCTCTTTTCAAGACAGTAGAATCAGGCACTCATCCTCACCATTCCACTAAAATTAGCCTTATCAAGATCATCAGCGATCTCCTTGTCAAGTCTGATGATCACTTCTTAGTCCTGATCTTATTTAACCTTTCTATCTTTGGCTTACAAGACAATATACTTGCTTGAGTTTCCCATTACACCCCTATCTCCTCCTTTTCATTTTCCTGGATTTCTTCCCTACTTAAATTTTGGAACATCCTTAGTTCTTAGTCCTTAGTTCTCTTAATTAGATTTCTTCTCTCTCCCTCCACTCTCTTCATTCTACATCTACATTTACTTTCTCTCATCCAGTCCCAGGGACTTAAATACTATTGTGACTAAAAATTTACATCTTGAGCCCTAGGCTCTCTGAGTTGCAGAGTTGTGCAGCATACTGCCTATTTGACTTCTCCACTTGAATGTCTATAAGACATCTCACACTTCACTTGTCTGAAGTGTAACTTCACATAATAGTCTGTAGTGGCGACTATTAGTTGCTCTCTAAATTCTGCTCTTCCTTCTTCCATAGCGATAGAAGGTTGAGTTAATGACTAGGCTATGTTTTCCAGTCTCCCTTGCAATTGTATGTGACCATCTGATCTAGTTCGTCCCAGTGAAACTGAACAGCATTAATAGGTGCTATTTCCTGGCTCTAGTCCTTATGAGAACAAGTGTGCCTCCTCCATACTTTCTTTTCTTCCATCTCACTAGCTAGAATGGTAACTATTAGAGTGACTGTGAACGTGAGAGAGTCACTGTCAGGCTGGGACCTGAAAGACCTCATGGAACAGAGCTGTCCACCAACCTGATACACTCACTTCAGACTGTTACATGATGAAGAAATAATTTCTATCTTTTGAAAGTCATTATATTTTGGGTCTCTTTGTTAGAGCATTTTAACCTTTCACCTTAACTGACATAGAAATTGGTACCAGAAAAGATGATGCCTTAATTTAAAACCCTGCATTTTCTTAATGGTCAGGCAAATTTGCAATTAGAGATACAGGTAGGAGGACAGAGCAAAGAGTTTTTTTTTACTCCACTTATGATGGGAAGTCATTGAAGGGATTATACAGTTGGATTGTGGTTTTACTAGGCATAACTATAGCTGCTCTGTGTAGGCTAGAAGGCTGGTGATGCTTATGCTATTTCACAAAACTGTTATCTATAATAACTTGGAAGGCACATCACATATCCAAGTCAAAGGAACATAGTTGTAAAAAATGAGAATGTTAGCGTACTTCACCGTTCATTGTTGATTTAAGTAAGGTATTATAAGAAAGATGAACTCAGGTAAGAACTGGTTGCTTTGCAAGCAGAAATGGAAGGAAGTGAGAATGTCCAGAAATTTAGGGCCTCTCAGGGCTGAAGAAGACAGCTGTTTTTGTGACTCAAACATTAACAAAAATGAGGGGATCCAAGCCTTGTGGCAAGGATCAGAATAAGGTATCGCCCTCCTAAACAACACTATTATTTCAACTAGCCTCAAGGTGGCCTCCATTAAGATGAGAAAGTAAAGTATGGATACAAGGAAGCAAAGAAATAAAGCAGGCTTCAAAACTAGGACTAGAAAAGACTTTGCTGTTATTTCCACAAGCAACTGACTAGAAGCAATTAGATCAGAAGCTTATTAGTTTTAAGGAAATCTAGTTGCCACAGAAACATGAATCTGTTAGCTCCTTAAAGCAATACTCAAGTCTTCAAATTTTTACCAGCAGAAAAGGTGTTGTAAATGATATACAGCCCCCTAGGAAGGCATTTTCTCTAACAGTCACTTCTGATATGGCTATGGAAGATTATGGACAAGGTAGTTCCTCTAAGAGAAGCAGAGTATCCCAATTGTCCAACAAAGGCACTTTCTGCACTGCCAGAACAGAGTCTGCATAATTCTTGCTCAGCTGGGAGTCAAAATTGCTGTCAACAAGCAGCTATGTGTATCTTTCTCTTAATAGGAGCTTTTAAAAGCAGTCATCCTATGCCTGTGCCACTACTGTGTACGGGGTGTGGGAAGAGGGGGAGAAATATCTTGTTTAATGGTTTGTATGACACCAATTATGAGAAGTCATTTCAGAGCTTGATGGAGAAAACACACCGCTCTTCCCTCTGCGTGGACACGGGCTCCATCCCACACCCTCATGTGGCTCTCTCCCTCACTTCATTCAGTCTCTGCTCAAATGTTACTTCCCCAAAGGTGACCAAAGCACTCCATCTACAATCACACCTCCATCATTTTCTACAACCCTAACCTCCCTTCATCCTCTCGTTACTCCTTTTTCCTCTCTACATAGTCCTTTTGTATTGCTCCCCCACTGAAATGTAAACCCTTTCAGGGCAGGACTTTGTCTTGTTCTTAGCAGAAATCCTAGCACCTAGCTAGAAATTGCCAATACATTATAGGTCCTTAATAAAGATTTACTGAAAAGAGAAAGGACTATGAACTTCTAAATGTTAAAGGTTTGAAGTTGTGTTTGTGTGGTTCTATTTTGCTATTTATCTGTATCACATTGTGGCTGGTCATAGAAAATTATTTGTGCAAGAGAAAATTGGGATTACTACCTGCAAGGTTTCATTACTTGGTAAGAAGCCTAATCAAAAGTTTTTCCTCCTAAAACAGTAGAGTTACTGCTAAAAGCTAGCTGTTTTGATCTCGTTCTTGTTCGTTTTTAAGACTGAGATAATGAAATGTCACTCCCATGGCAACTCCGCCTCTTTTTTGGAATGATCATTGGTGGTCATAGTTGCAGCATAATAACCAGTTAGACCTTGGAAGTCCTTTAGAGTCTCCTTATTTCATGATTCAACAAAGACTGGTATAATTAGCTACATTTTACTCAAGGGAGAAGCTAAAGTTCACCAGGCAGAATTCAATTTAATCCAATCCATCTATTTAATCTTTGCTGAACTTAAGCCTTGTGCCAGGCATTGTGCTGGGGATATAGTGACAAGACAGGCACTGCCCTGGCCCTTCGATTGGTTAGACTAATGTCTCACAGGACCCAGAGTGGTAGGGAGGGAATTACAACACAATACATTAAGAGCTACCTTAGAAGATGCAAAGTGTAATAGAAGTATATAAAATACTAATCTGAGTCAAGCAAAAAGTCAGAAAAGGCTTCCTGGGGGAGTGTCAGCTAAATTTAAACTCAAAGGGTAAGCGGAGACTGTCCAAATGAAGAAGGAAGAGGAATGGAGTGTTTTCTAGGCCAAAGCAAATATATGGAAGACAAAAGAAAGACACATGCAGATGGGGCATTACACTTTTTCCTCCAGTTATTTATCCTGTTTTCACCCACCACTCTTGCTCTTTTCCTTAGATCTCCAGTGTTTTTAGCTGTATATTACCCCCTTTCTCCCTAATCATCCATTGCTCCAGTGAGGTTTATTTGTAAATCTAACCCAGGCACCAACTAACCAACCAACAAACAAAAACAGCTAAGGAGTAGCCACTGGAACCTGGAACCATGCCTACACTTACAAAAATTTGATTTTCTGCAGAAAAAATATTTGGACTCCTACATTTTTGGACTTCATTAGAAGGACCTGAAATGGATGACACCAAGCTGTTTGCCTAAAATAATGTCCCAAGCCTGAATTGGCATGGATCTTCCTCGAGATTAAAATAGAAACTTGTTTTGCTAACTGAAAACAACTTAGAAATCAAAGAGTCATTTAAGTTGAAACCATTATTTTTCCTTTCCGTGAAGAAAATTCCTGTTTTTACACACACTGAATGATCGGGATAGTGAGATCACGCGCCACAGAACTTTCCATTAAAAATGTGAAGTTGTAGAAACCTCAAAAAGAAAATGAAGATGGGGGGAAAACGTTTGTAATGTAGCAAATGAATTGAACAAACATTTATGAGTACCTACTATGTGCCACACAGTGTTCTAGGTGATAAAGATACCCGCCTTTGTACAGCTTGCATTCTAGCAGAAAGAAAACATACCAACAAAAATTATGCAAGTTATACAGTAATACAAAAGATGAGTGGTATGGAGAAAAGACAAAGTAGGGCAGGCCAAGAAGCATCAGAAGGAGGGCAAGTTAGAGGTTTAAATAGGATGGTCATGACTGGCCTCCTCAAAGAGGTGTGACATTTGAGCAAAGACTAAAGGAAGTGAGGTTGTATGCCATGTAGATATTTGCAGAGGGCAAGTTGCAGTTTTAAATAGGATGGTCATGATTGGCCTCCTCGAAGAGGTGACATTTGAGCAAAGACTGAAGGAAGTGAGGGTGTGAGCCATGTAGGTATTTGGGTCCAGACAGAGAAAACAGCCAGTCACTGGCCGCAAGGCAGGGGCATGCCTGGAACGTGCAAGAAAGGCAAGGAGGCCATGGACTAGAGGAAGAGAAATGAGGACATTGAGAGGTATGGGAGATGACAGATGATCACTGCACAAGGCTGTCACTCGAGGTAAGGTTGGGAAGAGGGGTAACTTGACTGGACTCATGTACATCTTAGGATAATCATGTTTTCATTTGAACACAGTCCTTTATTTAGCACAATACTTTTTACTCTGCAACAACTGAACAATGATTACTTAAAATGGTTTCTAAGTGATCCCCTCAAGATCAGGCAGCACAACACTACTAGACAGTAGCAGCCCTTCCTCTCTGGCGGGCACTGGTCCCTAGAGGGGCAGTCCTATCCTAATGTGCTCGGGAATTGAGCTGGTAGAGATAGAAACACTCTGCTCATTTCTTCTTCAAAACCCGACTGGAGAGCCAAATATTTCTTTTGGTTAGTTAAAAAAATAAAAAATATGCCTTTGCCAACTCTGTGGGAAAAGCAAACTCCCAGAGTTTGCCTTTGCTAATTTGTCCAAGTCGTGCTGTGGTTTCAGTAAATGCAGACACTGTTCAGCTCCAGCCCCATAAACCTCTCTGCTCTAGGTCTTCTCCGCCCTCTGGTGAAAGCTACTGCTCACCCCTGCAGTCACCACCTGTTCGGGCGGAACCTGCGGAGCTTGCGCCTCGGGCTCCTTCTTTCCTGCTGGGCACCCTGCTTTCCCTCTCCCAGAGAGGGTTTGCAACTTTTCTCCCAGGCTGGGGCTCGCCCTGCTTGGCTAACCCCCAAGAGCCACTGCCTTCCCGCAGCGCCCCTGTCCCGGAGTTGCCTGCCCCGCTGGGCCCCCGGGGAGGAGCCGAGCGCGCTCACCCTTCGCCCCGGGCTGGGGGGGCGGCGAGTCGGGCGCACGCGCACCCCCTGCCCGCCCCTGGCGCCCCTCCCTGCGGGCGGCGCAGCTCCCCCTGCAGCGCCTCCCCTAGCTAGGAGGGAGCGGGAGGGGGCTCCCAGCGCCGCGCAGCAGACCTGCTCCGGCCGCACGCCTCGCCGCTGCCCTCCGGGAGTGGCAGCAGTAGCCCGGGCGGCGTGGGCTGGGGGTTCCCCGAGACTCTCAGAGGGTCTCCTCCCATCGGCGCCCACCACCCCAACCTGTTCCTCGCGCGCCACTGCGCCGCGCCCCAGGACCCCCTGCTCAACATGGATTTTCTCCTGGCGCTGGTGCTGGTGTCCTCGCTCTACCTGCAGGCGGCCGCCGAGTTCGACGGGAGGTGAGCTGGGCCCCGATGATCCCTCCCCTCCTTCCCGCGCTAGTTTCACACTCACTGTCTTGGGTCACTTTTCCCCGCGGGGTTACGCGGACAGAGAGGCGTCTCCCCATCCAGAAGTTGGGCCATCGCACAGCGTGGCGCGAGGAGAGCGGTCCAGCGGCTCCAAGTGCCCGCCCGACGCGGGGCGGGCGCGCCCCTGCGAGTCTGGGACCCCAGCCGCGGACCCCCGAGGGCGACTCGCCCTGGCTCGGGAATTAGAAATGGGGGAGAGGAGCGGCTAGAGCCCGGGATCTCAGCTCGGAGGGCGCGGTTGAACCACCTACGCCGAGGTGACGCGCGGAACATCCCTTACCCGGGAAACTCCCGCGCCTGAACTAGACGGCTCTTCACTGGGGAAGCTTCCAGGCGCCCGGGGGGAGGTCCGGGCTCGGCTCGGGGCTCTCGGGGCGGCTCACACAGAGGGTGGGCGCGAGTCAGCGACTGGGCTACGGGGGAGATTTGTGGGCCTCCCCATTTGGTTTTCTTGAGGGAAGGAGGCTCAAAATGAGGACCGGAGGGTAGGCGCTCCGTGAGTGTGAGCATGAGTGTGTGTGGATGTGTGTGAGAGAGCGCCCACACTGCGCTGCTCCTCAGACCCGGGCGAGCCTGACGGCGGCGTGCCGTGACAGGTTCCAACAATCTCGGGCCGCGTCTCCGCTGTCACTCAGCCGGTCCTCCCGCGCTCCGGGGCCGCTCCGGTGTGTGAGAGACACTGGGTCTGTCGGGAGGGTGTGCTCGGTCCCCCTCATCTCCGCGCAATTACAGACCAGGCTCGCCCCAAGTGCAGATGGCTGCTGCGGGAAGAGGTTTTACTCTGGCGCACACTGCCGCCCGGTCGCCTTCCTTCAGCGACCCCTGCCCCCACCCCTCCGTGTAGGTCCCTGCCTAGTCCTAAAGAAAGATGCAGCACCTGTTTTACCTGCAATCTTGGAACGAATCAGTTCCACAATTGATTCGCTTTCTTGTACCCGGAGGCGAACGGAGGGGAACCAGTGGAGCGCCAAGAAAAAGCACAGCTGCTTGTTTACTACCTGGTCGGAGGAAATAGAAAGTTCGGGGTAATTTTGTACTTTGGAGCTGGGGGTAGAAAAGGCAGGTAAAAGAAAAGGGGAAATGAAAAGATAAAGAGACTTTAAGAAAACATGAGAGCAGCCAGAGTCTAGACCTTTTCATTTTATTTTTAAAAGCAATTCTGTGCTCACATTTGGGTATGTTATGCATTTCTTGCACACATATTTGCAACAATAAACCCATCACAAGATATGCATATGATGTGAATGCATATAGCTTTTTGTAACTTTAAAAAGATGTCTAAAACAGCCAATTAAAATGTTGATACCCAGAGGAAAAAAGTCATTTAGGTGTGACTCTAAACAAGGAAACAATTTAGCAAATAATGTGTCAACGTGTAATCAGGTATCCTGAAATCTGTATCCTGAAATTACTTACTTTCTTTAGGCATTATTTACATTAGAGAGGAAAATACTATGAATTGTTGATCTAAGCAAATTTCAAACCACAAGGACACTTGAGTTATCAGCTACACTTTAAACTCTCCTTGGTTTTATTTAGACTTTTTTTCTAGTACTTTTTTGTTTGTTTGTTTGTTTCTGCCACAGTTATGTCTCAAAAAGAGCTCTGTTACAATTGATTTTTGAGAAACCTTCTTTCTGCTCCTCCCCCCATCCACCTTTTATATAAGGCAGAAATTTTTTTCTGCTTTGACATGTCCTATTTAATACTTTTCAGTTTATGGTGAATCAGTCAAACCTGGCTTTCCCCCCAGTAACAGGTGTGGGTCTTTGAGGACTCTGTTTTATTTCAAGCTTCAGAAACTATCCTGTGAGTGGCAGCCCTGAGAATTGTTGGTGTTAGCTGGTGCTATTTCTAGTTAAGAAAGCATCTTTCCCTCCCCTTTTTTCTCCTACCCTTGTGTGTTGGGGGATAGAGTATTTAACTGTCTGCGATTTGACATTAGATCATAGCAGAGCTATTTCTGTGAAGGTGTTTTAACCTTAAATTTCTGCAGGCATAAAAGAGTTTGTAGAAAATTGTTGGGTGCGGTTGACATTTTTTCTAAAGTAATAATAAAGAGGAAATTACCTTTCTTCTCAAAAGTGGCCTTATTTATTTTGAATCTTTTTGTTTGGTAGGTGGCCCAGGCAAATAGTGTCGTCCATTGGCCTATGTCGTTATGGTGGGAGGATTGACTGCTGCTGGGGCTGGGCTCGCCAGTCCTGGGGACAGTGTCAGCGTGAGTATCAAGCCTGGAGACTTCAGTTCCCTGGGAGGTGGGGCTTTCCACCTTGTTCATGGCTTCACCCCACATATCAGAGGGCTCATTACTGAGCAAGGCTTGGCCTTGTAGGGCTGACTTGGGGATTTTCAGATAAAGTCCGATCCTTATTCTGCTGCTTTTCAACTTAAGCCACCTGTATTACGGCCCATTCACAGAGAGCCACCTTAAATGTTTATTTTAGCATTTTCCCTCAAAATCTGCAGCTCCTTCCTGTTTTCTCACCAGGTTTATTCCTTTTTTTTTTTTTTTTTTTTTTTTTTTTTTTTTCTTTTTCTTTTTTTTTCCCTCTCTCTCCAGGCTTGGAGATGGGGGTAAGATAATGAGTCTAGACCATATTTACACAAAATAAACTCTGAACCTTAGAGTACTTATATAATCCTCGCCATAGCTGTTGTGTAAAGTGACCCATTTGTAAATCCTTTTTTGAAGTGGGGTTGTATTGACAGTGTTTTAAATGGACCACCCAATATAATGAAACAAAGCTTCTGAAACAACATTATTTGTAAGTTCTTTAAGTAACCAAACTATGTAATAAGTACCAAATCAGGAAAGTGATTTTCACCTTTTCTTTGACCACAAATGGATATTTTAATGGTAAAGTTTAGAGCTACATCAAAAGAGTTTGAGAAATTTAGGAAATTTGTCCCCAGCATTTTATTGTGATCTTAAAATTGTATCTCACTCCTACTGCAAAAAAATAGTCTTCAAATTATTAAGTACATTTCCAGAGCACCCTTAGAGTACTGGGGGTGGAGGGGGGGCATTTCTAGTAAGATGATGGGAACTAAGTTGGGTTCTACATTGGGATATGTATTTTATTGCTAGTGAGGAAGGGGCTTAGAGGAAGAGAGAAGGGTAGTTACAAAGGCTAGAGCTGGCAATGGAGAAGCCTGCCTTAGAGAAGGGTTGCTAGTGTGAAGAGTCAGGCAAATTTAAGTTCAGGAAAATTAGGAGTTCCCTCTGCTATTTTAATTTTTGAGGATACTCGCAATGTCTTCCTTAATTTTGTGAAAGAGGAATAGTGACAGTCACAGATTTACTCTAATTGCACATAAAGACCACAATCTCTGGTTGGGGATAGAAAGGTGAAGCAAATGAATATTTGCCTACCTGGTCGGAATTTGAGAACCAACAGACTCTAATAACCAAAATGTGAAGAAAGGACCCTTCTGTTGGCCCAACACACCCACACATAACCCTCCTGAATGAAAAATGAGTAGTTCTATACCTGCAATCTCCAGCTGTGCAAATACTTCTGACACTGTAGAAGACTAAATTCCACCAGGCACCATTCTTCTTTTTGGATCATCTTCCCTTAAAACAATATTGAATAGACTAACCAGTGATTGCACAGCAGCCTTGCCTACTTCTTTCGTTTACTGGAAACTGGAGTTACCACCATCTCCCTTTAACAGAATGCAATTGACCCACTGTACAAAGGGTCTAGCCCAGCAGCTCACACATAGCAGATAGGCAAACATTTGCTTCACCTTTTACGTTTATACTTCCAAAATCAAAGTAGTTCCAAGGTTCTCTGTGTTACAATGAAATAAAATTCCTTTCAATTAAAAAGGCACAAATGGTTCTTTACCATTAACATTGAAGTTGGCAAGGTTGTAAAAATTAGCTCAAAGGTGAATGTTTTCTTCTGTGTATTTTATTTTTCTAGCATCTTAGATGGCCCAAATGTCTCTTGTCAGTTCAGAGTTCTGCCTGTCTTTGTTTTGATATAAACAGGTAGAGGAATGTGGGCTGAGAAGTCAGCTCAAAGGGGCAGAACAAATCAAAAAGAGGCTGCTCAGAGGGAATGAAATATCTCTGAAAACTTGTGATTTTTTTTTAAAGAAAGGCTTTATGAAATTAAAAGTTTTGTCACTATGTTTGTTCAAGAAAATGCCTTGCTATTGTATAACAATTGAATCTATTATGATTCCTTGTAAAGATTCCAAATAACTTCTAGAGAATTTAATGTGAAAAATGTTTTTGCCCTTTTGACCTTTAGATAATCATGTCGTTCTTTCCCATAAGGAAGGGATATTCTCCCTTCCTCATCAGAGATGCTCTGGTTCTCTTCTTTTCTGAATGATTCACTTTGGAATTTTCCTTCAAAACAGCATAGCAAAACAAAAAGAAACTATTCCCATTACTGCATGGATCTTCCCAACTTATCCCACAGAAGCTGTGTTTGTAGGTAGGGAAAGGTGGTCGTACCCTCATTATATTATTTAGCAGATCTTATGCCTTAGTGCAGTGATCCTTTGGTGAGTGTTTATTCCATTTGGTTGACCATTTGTGAGATGTTTAACTTAATTTTCTTGTGAGTCAAATACACATATCTGTACAAAACATGCTGCCCTTCATTTTTACTTGCTATCTTCCTATTTATGGACTTGTTTGGAGAAACCGACTAATGTTGCAGGATGCTAAAGCTGGTAAACCTCTCCTTCTGGCTCACTATGTCTAACCAGAGCCAGATATAGCTGGGAAACTTTACATTCTTCCGTCTAAGACTGAAGAAGGAAGGATCAGTGATGCTACTCAAATGGGCATAGAAACTGTCCTGCTGCTTCCTGCCTGTACCACCCAACGTTCTATCCAAGTATTCCTGCCTGCTGGGGAAAGCATGACCCGTTCCAGAAATAGGCAGGTTGTGTATTCATAG